GCCCAGCCCTTTGGAAAGGAAAATACTTGCTTGGAGGAGGGAGTTGAGAACTGTGGACAAGGAAGCAAGAGGAGAGCTGTGGGACACTGCGCTGGGGCAGGGTGGAGGCTGCACTCCCACAGCTGAGGGGTCAGGATGGTTGCTTCTATCTCAGAGTCCAGCTAGCAGGAAGCAGTGGACCTGCAGGCCAGAACACTGGCCACACTGGGCACTGGCACCTGACTGCAGCTGGAGGGGGTCTTGGCGAGTATGCTGGGGGCACTTCTGGGAGGTCCTGGAGGGTGCCTTCTCCACACTGTGAGTTGAGCTGAGTACCCAGTCCAGCCAGCAGCGAAGTGGGAAATGCAGTGACCATGGACTCACTTGTCTCTTTAGCACTGAGCTCCTCCCCATGCCAGAAGCCACCAGGGATGATGAGGCAGCTGTCAGGTGAAGACAGGGTTTCACAGTCAGGATGCTCGGATCTTGGGCTAGGGTTGACCCAGGAGGGCTCTCCTTCACCCCTATCAGGGCTGGATGGCTGCCATGGGGGAGAGAGCAGGAACGACAGCCCTGCTGGAAGCACCTGGTGCCTGCCACAGGCACTGGCATCTGCCTGAAGGTAGGTAGCTGCTGCTACTGCCCCTGCCTGGGAGGAAGCTCAGACTGAGGCAGCCACTACCTTGGAGGCTCTGAGGGTATAGTATCAGGTTGGGGCATCAAGCGGGGGAGGGGAAGGGTCTGAGGGGGGCTTCTAAAAGTGCTGGCCTGGGCCCAGACTTCTACTTATGATCCCTGCCTCCTCCTTGCTCACCCCCAGGAATGTGCCCCTCCCCTCATATCCCTTTCCCCTCCTTCCTGCCTGGAGAGGAAACCAGCTCAGATTTGGCTGAGTAGCCCAGGCAGAAGCCTCAGGCATCAGGGTCCTGGGGGCCAGGGAGGAGCAGCTGCCTCAGCCAAGGGCAAGGAGCACCTGCAGGCCCCAGGTGCATGGGCCCCAGGTGTGTAGACCCTGGGTGCGACGGCTTCAGGTGCAAAGGCCATTTCACAGTGAGGAAGGCCCAAGTCAGCCAGCTTTCCACTCCTGTTGGGCCTGAGCCTGAGGGTTAAGCAGGGGTGTCAGGGTAAGAAAAGCCAGCAGAACTGCACTAGAGGGTCAGGACCCTTGGGACTGGGCTGCTGCTTCCAGGAGGGAGGCCCCCAGCTTCATGGACAGTCTTGGGGTGTCAGCCTCTGGCCACACTTCTACTTGCTAGGATTAAGAGCAAGCAGGTGAGGGTGCCCACTCTGGGCCCAGCCTAGCCACATCCTGGAGACTCGGTTTCCAACTGAAACTGAGCATAGCTACTGCCTCTGGACAGACAGACACTGGGCCAGAAAGGCTGTGAGAGACCCCATTAGGTCTGGCTGGCTCTGCCCTCCCCCACATGCATAGTTACAGTGCAGGGTTGTGGTCCTGCCTTCTCATATCTCCTCTGCCACCTAGCACAGGGCTAACCCTGGCTCAGGCACCTCTATCCAAGGCCTCCTGCTTGGGTCCTCACCCTAGGCCCAGGTGTTGGAAGCAAGCCTGGGGCACAGGGGTCTGACTCCAAAGTGCCTTCCTAGGCCTGGGGACAGTTCAGCCAGCATCAGGCCTCTTCCTGGGACAGACATTGGGCTGACAGGATGAGCTGTGGTCCCTAGTGCCAGGCTGTGCCCTGAACACATAGCCCAGCGGACAGGAGCCACCAGTTACAATTGTCTGCGGCAGTTCCTGCCCAGGGCGTCCTTCCTCCACTCAGGCCAACCGCTGGCCTGGGCTGAGTGTTTGTTATTTGATCTCTATCCTCTCTCAGCCCTTCTACCAGGTGTCTGGGCTGCTGGGAAGAAACACTCTCCTCTTTCCCACGCTCCCCGACACATTTTAATGAATTAGCTGAAAGCCCCGCCCCCACTGCCACAGCCCTCCCTCTCCTGCTTAGTTTCTTTAAGGTGGCCGCAGGCCTCAGAACAGTTCTGGCCAGCTGCCCCTTCTGTGCTATCCTCCTCAGGCCCTCCTAGGACACCCGGTCTGCCCTGCCCAGACCTCCCCTCCCCACACTCCCCCGTGCTCTGAGCCTGTAGGGAGTGAGGCCCCCCCACCCCCGTCGCTGGGGGTGGCAGGCAGAGGCCCCTAGGCCAGCATCTTTAGGACCAGGCCAAGGAGAAAGGCCGTGGTCAAGGTTGGGACTGTCTCCCCAGATCATAGATCAGGGGCTCACAGACAGCAGTACGTGACAACAACCCCAAGAGACAGAAATACCACCAAACCCTGGAGAGGGATCTGGCTCACAGTGGGTTCCACCCCTCCCTCCCTCCTACAGCATTTAGAACAAATGTCCATCTTTTGGATGTGTCCTTCAGCAAACATTAGGAAGTGTGACTAGGAGCCAGTGCCCCAACCCAAACTGAAATAGGGAAGCTTCAGGTGTACAGGGTGTGGGGTAAGTTACTGAGCAGAACTGCCCTTCACAGCCACAGGGTAGGGGCCCAAGCCCAGGCATCCCCAGCTCCACATGAGCAGCGCAGTTCTTGGATGAGCCCAGGCACAGGGCTTGGGCCACAGTCTCATCTGCCTGACTTCACCCTGGGCCAGGGTTGGTCAGGCTGATAGGTACCCACCAGGGCAAGACCACTTCACTAGTCATGCTGTTCCCACCAGGGGCACCTGAGCCATCATCCCTCTCCAGGAGCTGCTACTAATTTCACGGCCCATGGCAGGGCCTTGAGTTCCCACAGTGAGTTGACACAGGGCCCCTTTGTCTGCCTGCTTGCCATGGATGTTGGCAGACTCTCTCCCAAGCTCTGCCCCAGCCCACAGTATTTCCAGATGCCCTTCTCCAAGTCAGGTTTAAGACCACCTGGGCTGGGGCCTTCTCCCAGGGTACAGCCCTGTGCCTGCTGAGAGCTGAGAGCTATGCCTACCCCGCCCATGTCCAACACCTCCAGCCAGTCTAGCATGGCTGGCCCTGGACAGATGCATAAAAAACACAACTGACCAGGATGAGCTCCTGCCTCTTGTGTTCTGGGGCACTCCTCCACTCCCAGCCCTGTTCCTGCATGGTGTTCTGTGCTGAGGCCAGCACCAGGGAGCAGTGTGCAGCAGAAGGGCAACCTGGGCCCCCATCTCTGCTGGGGGGGAGCTACTTTGTGATATAAATGTCCCCACCTGAGCATCAACATTCTGTACCTGCACGGGGAGTGAACCCTCAACACCATGCCTCAAGAGCTCCTGGGAGAACCCATGAGGCCCAGAGGAGCAGGCCTGAGCAGAACTAACCAGGCCTCAGGAAACCCAAAGCAAGCTCCAAGTTGCCCACTCAGGGAACTCAAGTTCCCAGGCCTTCAGGAGGACTGAGGGGAGTGTGGCCCTGCTCAAACCAGCCAGAGCCAGTCCCAGAGTGGGCTTGCCCAGTTTTTCCTGCCAGTTTGGCTGTGACCCCTCCCACAGCACAGAGCAGGGTGGGGTACACCCACTGTGGTAGCCAGATTCAGGGTATGGGGCAGACACCCGCAGGAGCCCTACTGCCTGTCCTCAGGCAAGACCTGGCAGGGTGGTCTTCCCCTGAGGCTGGAGCTGCCTGCTAATTCTGGTCTGTCTTCAGAAGGAATTCTGGCTTCAGAAGGAATTCAAGTCCCAGCTTGTCTAGCCTCCTGTTCTGTTGGGTCTGAGAATAATTCCTCCTTAATTTCCAGCGACCATAGCAGCAGAGCTGCAAACTGTAAAATCCTAAGGAGGAAGTGTGGCCCTGCCTCCCAGTGCTGGTGCCTTGTGGTCACTTTTAGAAGGTCAATAAAAAATGGGTTTTACAGTTTGGAAATGAGTCATTTCGGAATCCCTTGCAGGGAAGTTCTGGTTGCAGGGAAGTCCTTGTTGCCTTAACTAGAGCATGGTCATTTGGCTGGGGAATGTGCCCATCCATGCTGGGGGGAGGGGGGATATTGAGGGGTAGGCCCTGTGGTCCATGACCAACTGACCCACCCACCGTGAAGCCCCCAGCCCTGGGCTTCATCTGGAGAGGAGAGTAGGACCTCCAGGCAGGCTTGGGAGGGGGGGGCAGGAAGGTGTGGAGCAAACAAAGCCAAGAAAAGCTGCCAGAGAAGCCGCCCTCGCGTGGGAAGGACCTGCGTGGCTGACGGCCACATGCCTGAGCTGTTAGTGGAGTTGGAACATGAGTGGACAGTGAGCCCACAGGACCCAGGCTGGCCCGGTCTCTGCCCTAGCCATTGTGTCTGAGATGCCCTCAACCCCCCGCCCAGGAGAGACTGCCCTCGGGTCCACCTGGTGGACGCGCTTGGGGCCAGGGTCCAGGCCTGGGTCTGGATGCGCAAGAAGCTTGGAATTCCCCCGCTGGCCGGAGGGGACCTGTACGGTACGATGGCGAAGAGACGCAGAGGGCCCGGGTGTGCGCGGACAGCAGCGGCGGCGGCGGAACTAGGAGCCCCAGTGGCCAACTGGCCTTCCCTGCCCTGGCGCTGCCAACTAACAGCGCCCCTTGCAGCGAAGCGCTCAGCCATCGGAGCACGCCCCACCTAGGCACCGCCTATTTCCCGCCCCCACGTGCGTGTGACCCAATCTGCCCAGCCTCTGGCGAGCGCGTCATGAAAGCTCTATTGTTATGCAAATATAAGGACGCTAAAAGGCGCCGCGGGCCGGGCTGGCTGAGAGTGCAACGGCGTGCCGGGGTAGATCTGGGAACTGCGGCAGAACCCAGCAAGGGACCGGGATCGCGCGGTACCGCAGTTCCCGGCTGAGCCCGGTCCCCACGGGCGCAGAGGCCGTCCCCGTCGCCCACCTGGGCGCGGCTGGATGCTGCGGGGGCCCCTCGGCGGCGGCCCCCGGCCCCGAGCACCCGGAGCGCCCAGGGGCGGCGTGCGGGGCCTGGGGGCGCCGCGCCCTCCATGTGCCGAGGCGCGCCCCGAGAAAGCCGGGGGCCGTCGCCGCAGCCGCCGCCCGCGCTGAGCCCCGGCCCAGCCCGCGGCTGGCGCCCGGCGGCAGCATGAGCCAGGCGGAGCTGTCCACCTGCTCGGCGCCCCAGACGCAGCGCATCTTCCAGGAGGCTGTGCGCAAGGGCAACACGCAGGAGCTGCAGTCGCTGTTGCAAAATATGACCAACTGCGAATTCAATGTGAATTCGTTCGGGCCCGAGGGCCAGACTGCACTGCACCAGTCGGTCATCGACGGCAACCTGGAGCTCGTGAAGCTGCTGGTGAAGTTCGGTGCAGACATCCGCCTGGCCAACCGCGACGGCTGGAGTGCACTGCACATCGCCGCGTTCGGCGGCCACCAAGACATCGTGCTCTATCTCATCACCAAGGCCAAGTACGCAGCCAGCGGCCGGTGATGCCTGACAGGACCCTGGTCTCTGGCCCCGCGGCCGTGTCGTCTCTGCTGTATCTTCCCGCCAACTACCTCGGTGTGCGCCAGCGTCGCCGGCCCATCCAGGAGCCCTGCGCCGGGCCCTCGGCGCCCGCCCGCGGCCATGAGTACTGCGCTCGCGCCGCGGCCCGGGGTCCGGTACCTCCGCCAGCTGAGCGCCTCCCAGCGGCGGTCCCGGCCACCACCGAGCGCCTTCCCACGGCCCCCGCCAGCCCGCTGCTCCGGGGGTGGGGGCGGGGCGCAGGCTCCAGCCCGTTTGAAATTTGAGTCTCGCCACTAGCAAGTGCAGAATCCCGAGATACCGGATCCTCTACTCTATAATGTTTTCTCCCGAAGGTGAAAAGCGGGCGGCGTGGGGGACGGCGAACCCGGAACCTGCCCGCCGGGGGAGAGCAGACGCCGGCTACAGCGAGGAGACGCTCCAGTTCTCTTGGTGTTCTAAACTATTTATCTGTGTGTGTATTTGTGGGTGAAGTTTGTGCGCCTGTCGTTTTTTGTTCGGAAAATATTGTGCGTGGTCAATGTGGTTATGGGGGAAAGATGCATATTTTTTTTTCTAGTCTTAACGCTGAAAACTTGAGTCTACCATTTCTTGGTTGCACTGAAAACACCGCCCAGCCTGAGGGGTTTCCCGTGCAGTCCTCCCCCACCCACCCAGCTCCCGTTCCTCCCCAGAACTCTGCCCTCTTTCTCCCATTTCACGGGAGTTCGGGAAGCCCCAGGGCCTCCCACCCCTCCACTCCTGGGAGAGGCCACCGTCCCCCAACCGGCTGGTTTTACAAAGTTTCCGCGGGAGCCTGGAAGCCCGCTGGCGCTTGTGGGGCGGGGATGAGGGGACGTCACCTTTTCTAGAGCGTTCTATCATAGTTAACAGTCGGTTGCACACTTTTTTTTAAGTAAATGGATTGCCACGATTAAATGTCATAACATTTATGACAGAATATAAAATATTAACATATTTTAAGCCAAGTTTTAGGTATATTTTTTGAGTCTTGTTTATAAACCCCATTTTAAAGGGCTTTGTATCCAGCGTTGTGAAGGCAACAGAGTGTACCCATATTTATATTTTTATAAAATTCCTATAAGACTGTGAATCTCTTGTGCTAATTGGTGAGTGAACTGAAGGACCGTTTGACCCTATTCAGACTCCCGGAGCTTTGAGGACTGGATTCGAATCTGAAAATCTTGCTGTGGGGGAAGGGCTGCGGGGGCTGGGGGACGTTCTCCTGCGGCACTTTTTCTGTCCTTTCTGAAAGGCACCCTTCCTGGTTTCTGTGGTTCCAATTTTCTATGCAACCCCACACCCCTGCTTGTTTTGATCCTGAGAAATAAAAGGGAGGCTGAATTATTCAAATTTAAATGAGGTTTCCCCTTGTAGAAGTGCTGCTGACCCTTCGTGCAAAAATGGGGAGCACTTGAGGACACAGGTGGGTGGAGGCCCTTTGTGCGTGTTTGGTCACACTCGCTGTCATCTGTGGCTTTGTGTAAGACTGTGTGAGAAGAATATATTGATAATGTCAGTGAGACAAGCAGACATTGAAACTGAGGCACAGATTGCTCCACAAGGAGTTCTGTATATTTTTTCCTAGATGCAAATACCTTTTTAATTATGTTAATTAATGTTAAGACTTTCTAGGCTTATATCAAAGCTATGTGTGGGTCACGGTATGATCACTTCTAACTGGATAAAGTCTGTGCAGCACATTCCTGAGTGTACGATATAGACTTGTAGCCCAGCATGAAAAATTTACAAATAAATTTTTCATTGATCTTTTTATATTAAAAATATTTGTTGGTAATTCTTAATCTTAGCATGAGTAGTAGACACCTCTGAGGGGTGGGGCTGCCGCAGGCTGGCCATGGGTGATGTCTATACAACGGCTTGTGTTCACCGGGAGACAGAGCCCAGTCAACTGGCTCCCACCTCTGTGCAACTGCCCAATCCAATTTGGCTTGCAGAGGACTTGGGAGGATTCCAGCCACTTGGGATACCTGCCACCACGAGAGCACCCAGAGCTGGTGTCATAGCCTGTTTTCTCCATTATCTGGCAAAGCAGCTGAAATCTCTTGATGGAAAGTCCTGCTTGAAGCTTTTCCCACCGCCCACCCAGCCTGAGACACTGAAGTCCTCCGGAGGAACAGACCCCTCTCCATGTCCCCCATGCTGCTGTAGGTTTATGCTGATGGAGCACCACCTGCTGCACAGAAGGGGTATCTTTAAAATTGGGGGGAAACAATTGCTCATTTCTGAGAATAAGGCCCCTGGAGGCTGGTTTGTTCCAGCTTTGGAGGCCAGCTCAGGTTCTGAGCTAGACTTGAGCATTCCCACATGAGCCAGGTGTCTGTTTGGGCCCTATCCTGCCACCAGCAACAGCAGCCTGCAAAGAAGAGAACGTGGAGCAGGGCAAACTGAGTTACAAGGTAAAGACTTTTCATAAGGCTTCCAGACCCTCTGAGGGGTGCCCAGGGCATCCGTGTCTAAGCTCTGTCTCTTCCTTGATGGAAGACCCCTGCCCAGCCCCCTGCCTTTCATGTTCCTGTTTTGTATCTCCTCCCTCCTCTACCCTTGACCATTTTCCAGGCACATCCTCTTTCAGTTAAACAAGCATTTCCTGTCCCACAGAATTGGCATATAAGGCTGGGAAGACCGTGCCCAGCCTCCTGAAGCCTTGGGAGGTCCTTCCTTGGGTCCGCTCCAGGAGGCCCAGCCATGTGAAGGAGAGTGGCCACAGGAACTTGGACATGATTAGGGCATCTGAAGAATTAAGTCAGACCACCCAGGGTATGCTGCACCATGCCTCCATTTCCCACCCCAGCACTGTCAGGAAACCAAAAGTAGTATCTCTTTTTGGCATTAGCCTGTGGGTGGATGAGGTTCCAGTCACCTGTGGCCCCTGCAGTACCCTGATGTTCTCCCACTGTAGAAAGAGGCCTGGGCTGGCACTGTCAGCTTTCCAAGCATGTGGCTGCCACCCAGGATACAATCTGTGGCTCCCTTAAATTCTCTCTTCTGAGGGACACATTTATAGAGAAAGATCTTGTTCTGCTCTCTGGTCAGACAGTTTTTTCTCCAGTGTGAACAAAAAGGAGGCTTGCCAGGTGGCCTCCCTGAAAGCTAAGGAAAGGTGGTAGAAGCATTTCTTTCTCTTTAGGTGCTGTGTACTTTAGCAAGCCTGTCCGGGGAAGGACTGGGGTGTGGCCAAGGACATACAGCCTCCCTTCAATAGGATAAGAGCCCTGGGAAGCAAGCAGACACACACTCTGAAACCCACCACCTTGTGGGTGGGAGTTGCAAAGGAAATCCCAGCTGGGAGGGCCTAGGACTCCCGGAGACAAGGACAGACTGAGGACATCTTTGGGGAAGCATTCTGAGCAGCACATTGCTAGACCAAGCAACTCTGTGGAGCAGGATGTTAGCTGAGCAAATGTGGGCTGAGAATGGATGCCCCTGCACAAGGGAAGAGGGGTAGCTAGGTCCTGGGGGCAAAGAGGAGGAAGGCCTTGCTCTCTGGTCTCCTCCTCCTGTGGAGGAGGTCCTGTGTTCAACGAATTGCTCACTGTGTTGGACAGTTAGCAAATATTGGCATATATTGGCCAGTAGGGTTGCTGGGAGTCCCCACCACCCCTCCTCAGGAAGGCTCCTTTCTGGCCAGGGTAAGAAAAAGGGCATAGGTGACCCAGCCTGTGCTCTGTGCCCTCCTTCCCACACCTGCAGGAGTGCACTGCAGGGTCCCAGCCAGAAAGCAGGAAAGAGACCCATTGGTGGAAGGGGCTTCAGGTGGGGGACTGGGCCACTGGGAAACCCTGAGAGAAAGGAGACAGACCAGGCAAGGTCAGGGCCTGCCCCACTTCCTTGCCAGGAGGGTGCTGGGCTCCTGTCCAACTGTCTGTCTCTCTGATCTGACCTCAGCTGGACGCAGGAAGCATTTACTGTTGGAACAGACATGCCACAGAGAGACCAGGAAATGTAGGATGATGATCAGCTAGAAAGAGCAAAGCCAGCAGGTGAGGGAGACAGGACACAGCCGGCCAGAGTGGAGAGGGCAGGATTTGGAAGTCAGGGAGATAATGTGCAAAGAAGGAAGAGAAGGAAGCAGCTACTGGCTTGGGGTCTGTCCCCCAGGGCCTGTAGCTCAACACAGGGAAGGACCAAAAGCGGATGCACAGACCACCCTCAGAACACGAGGAAGGCCAGCTGTCTCCTGAAGCCCGGCGAGGCTGCCAGGAGGAGGTGGGCATCCACCTGGGCTTGAAGGACAGGAAAAGAGGTCGTGGGACAGCCGGGAACGACTCCGGAGGCCTGAATGTGAGGGCGCAAGCCACAGGAGGGGACTGTCAGAAGCCTGGGAACCTCTGCAACTGCTCCTTCAGGGCCACCAGCGCAGCCCCTCCTGGGTGCGCGGAGGCCGCCCTCGCCCCACCTCCTGCACACTCCACCGACCCCACCCGTTCCCCCCGCACTCCCCACCCAGCCGGCGCTTTCTTCTCCTTGGCTGTCTTTCCGACCGTCCGGCTGTCTGTCGGTCTTTCTTCTTCCCCCTCATCCCCCAGCAAAACCGCGGCCCCATTCATTCCCGAGGCCTCTGCCCTTTTCCTCGGCGCTGTGGGGCTCGGCGAGCAGCTGCTATGCTAATGAGGGTGGAGGGGGGAGGGTAGAGAAGGGAGAGAAGGAGCTGAGCACACCAGGGGTGGGAGACAGGTGCCCACAAAGCCGGATCTTTGCATTCAAAACCAGCCGAGACCTTTGGGGCCCGCCTGACCGCGCCCGACCGGCGCAGAGCGGGGCGGGTCTGTGCACCCGGAAAGCGCCCGGGGCCGCTAGGGCCGAGGCTGCCCCTACCTGGGCTCTGGGCGCCGCTCACCCACTCCCGGGCGCGTAGTGAGGGGCAGAGACCAGCTGTCGTCTTGTTCTGGGGTCGTGGCCTAGGACCTGCCCCTCTTTCTGGAGGACCCCGCCCCGTCGCCCAAACACCACATCGCGTGGGACTCCAGCGCGCCCCTGACAAGTGGACTGGAAGTGGGAGTGGAAAAGGACGCTAGACAATCCCGCCTGCCCCCGGCCTCCGTGGATGGACGCGCTGCAGACCACTGGTGGGAGCCTCACCCTCCAGTCTGAGAACCCCGGGCCCCAAC